GAACATCAATATGTGTCATGTCATTGTCACCTGTCGCTCGATGCTCTGGACCCTCCTGAGTATTGTGGTGGCTTTCGCCGAGCTCATTGCCTTCATGAGCGCAGACTGGCTGATTGGAAAAGCCAAGACCCGCGGCAGCTCCGAGCAAGGTGAGCAGGGCGGAGGCTACCCGGAGCCCTACCACCCCACGCTGGGCATCTACGCCCGCTGCATCCGGAACCCCGGGGTGCAGCACTTCCAGCGGGAGACGCTGTGCGGGCCCTACGCTGAGAACTTCGGCGAGATTGCCAGCGGCTTCTGGCAGGCCACTGCTATCTTCTTAGCCCTGGGCATCTTCATTCTCTGCACGGTGGCCCTGGTGTCCGTCTTCACAATGTGTGTGCAGAGCATCATGAAGAAGAGTATTTTCAACGTCTGCGGGCTGTTACAAGGAATTGCAGGTAAGCGGGCATGGAGAGGGAGGGACCTGAGAGCCACGTGCGTGTTCCTGCGTGCGTGCAGCACACCCACTGTTCACTGGTTCATGAGGAGGACTGTCTTCTGTCGGGTTCTAGGCAACAGCAATGTGCTGTCCTCCTTGCTCCCTTTCCCACTTTGACTCCTCGGAAGCAAAGTGTCCACTCTCACCTGCTCCTCTTCATTGCTTATTTCCTGGGGTTCTAAGTTGCTAGATTTTGTCTGAGTAACTACTCCTTTTTTGCTTTTCTCGTTAAATTAAAAACATGCTTTCCACGTCATGCAACCAGGGGGGAATTGCAGTGTGAGAGGCCCACCTGCAGCAGGCACCGTGTGCTGGGGCGGAGTGTGAGCGTGGGGCGTCCTTCACAGGCAGCGAGCCTGGTGCTGCCACCCACTCTTAGCCCTATCCCAGCCCCAGGATGATTTCAGCTCTGGGAGGGGAAGAAGCTGGCTGGGAGGGAATTAGTATCCACTGCTCTGTGTGTCATAATGTTCTGGTTTAAATTGTCTGTCTGCTAGAACCTGACAGAATGTTCTGTGCACTCAGATCAGAAATTACAAACTAACTCTTCCACTTTCTGGGAGTTTCTCGCTGATGAGCTTGTTAGAAATTGGTGGAAAGTACAGTGTGAGTTCTTTACAGGGATCTCAGACGGGAGGCTGTGAGCTCCAGGAAAACTTCCATGGCCACCACGTTTCCATAGATTGTCCCATGAGGTGTTGAAAAATGGATCTGGAACCAAGAGGGTATCAGTCTGTTCACGCTCAAGAGCTTGTTCTGGGCAGCAGAAGTAACCCACACACACACAGCAGAGTTTGAAGACATCTTTAGTAAGGAGAGGAATAGACTCTTGCTCTGATTTTCAGGAAAGAAAAACTTCACTATTGAAACAACCAGAACCAAGGCATGTATTAATCTGAACTCTAACAGGAGAAATAGCAATCCACCTACCACCCGCACTGAAGGGGACAGGTGACTCATCCTCAAGCTGTGTGCCCGGGGCTCCTGACAGTGAAGATAAACACTGAGCCTGGCATCCAGGCCTATAAGAAGCAGACAGACCCCAAATGAACTAGCTCTTGCCTGCCTTACAGCAAACTCTGAGCTTGGCAGGGCTGGCTTCTAAATAAACAGGTCAAACAAGAGGTTTTTTCCAAACTGCTGATAAGATAAGGCTTTTTCTTCTCAAATCTTAGGAGGCCCCATGCGTATGTGGTGGGGGTGGTGGGAATAGGCCCAGAGAAATGACAGAGGACCTGCTCCGTTTGTATGGGGGATATACTCAGATTTCAGGCCCCTCACCTTGTTATCTGCCAAAATCAGCCGTACTGTGTGGTGGCACAGGCACTCGCGGGGCTTGGGAGGCCAGGAACCTGATTTTCAGCTTTGCTTCTGCAGTTTCACTCAAGATAAATGCACCAATTCTCTGGATCCTTGGCATTCCTTTTCTGAAAGATAGGGAAAGTGGAAGACATGTTCTTATCTTAGATTTTTTTTTTGATCTTAGATTTTTTATTCTGTGAAGCTTATTGTTCCCCTTTTCATTTCTGAATCTGAAGTTCATCTCCTTCAGCTTGGCTTTCCAGCTCCCAGAAACACTCAGCTAGGTTTCCATACTGGTTCATCTTTTCCTTGTGAGAGAAATGCCCCTGCTTCACTCCCCTAGGCGCACAGTGCCTCCCGGGCAGGTGCACATATGCGAGCGTGTCTGAAAACTTGTTCTGGGCGGCAGAATTACACTCACGCCCAAAACACTGAAAAACGTTACCAAAGCTTAGGGAAAGTCAAAATAACCATGTCAATGAAGGGAAGCTAGCATGAAACATTTATTAATCTTTCGGAAGAGCCCTGGTTGACCAGAGAGGCATATTTCTGCTCAGTTTGCCCTGACTGTATTGTATTTGTTAATTTTGGATGACTTCCTGCCTTTATTATGAGTTTTATCAATATGTGTGGCATGCAGGTGAGACTCCTGCTTTGTCACCCCGAGGGATGCTTTTCGGCCTGAGAAACTTAGTGCTTTCTAGCAGTGTGCAGTAGGGTGGGACATCTTGGGCTGTATCACCACTGTCCGTCTTTTGCAGTCAATTTGCAGCAAATTACAGCTATCCTTTAGTCTCAAAGACTGTTCATGTGCAGTTTTTAATAAGGGGCTAGTCCAGTGAATTTAGTCTCTAAGAATGTGGATTAGTCCACCAAATCTTTTGGTGCTCTCATTTGCTATTTCACATAAATGGCAAGAGTGTTCATTCTGGCACAAAGACTAGTACATATTTTAGGTATTATTCATACACTCCAGTGACTTATTCTTGACTTTTCTCTTTCTCTGTATCAGGCCTCTGGGAAGAAGGGTTGGGGAGAAGGAAGTGGTAGCACGCCCATGACAGTGTTAGTCCTTTGGTCACCTGTCTCTTCCAAAAGTCTCGATTTGCTAAAAGAAATATTTCTCCCCAGCCCTTTCACGTCTGTTCCCCATGCATACATACAGCATCTTGAAAGTCTGAAATTACTCACAATTCCTGTATAGACATATTGTGCCTCTTGAAGGGTCACTGATCTAAGGCTAAGAACTGAAACTGTGGGAGAGCTGGGCTGAACGCTGGTCAGCCAACTCCCTTATGTTGGTGGGGGGTCAGGGCCACATCTGTAAGGGATGCTCAGTGGGCTGTTTCTCCCCTAATACAGGTCTATACCAGGCAGTTCAAGCCAACAGAAATGGCCCCTGTGGTCCTTGAATCTGTGGTGAGAGAATTGCCCCTTCCCCCACCTCCCAGTGTCTCAGGCAGCTGGCTTGCTTTCTGTCCTCTTGGCCGGTCTGTAAGAGCATCCGGTCAGCCTCAGCCAAGTACTTGCTGCAGCTGTGAGCATCAGTCTTTCTTCTCCCCACACTCCCCTCTCTCAATCCTGGATTTATTCGACACTGAAACAAAGGGTGAGAAAGGAGGCTGTTGGCAGAGCAACAAAAGGCTGTTTTAGAAGTACACTCAGATTGTGTCTGTTCTTACAACTTGCATTTTGACACTTTTGTAAAACGTAACTGGGTGAAAAATTACAAGATATTGTAAGCATATTTCTTTACTGCACCTAATCTTAAAGGCCACAGGCTTGCTTGTATAGCTGTCACTGTCCTGAGTATAACGTAAATCATCCAAATTTTAGCATTTTCATTTTAGAATCTGCTACCTCAGTGGAGATCTCAAAATCTAGGTTACTTACAAAAAATAAAAAGACAACTGTTGACTATTAAGCCAATCCAGGTAGCAGGGTTTGCCTTCAAGGCCGCACCTCATGGTGGGCACCCAGCTGACACTTCCTACATACTTGTGTGCAGGCACCCTAGCTGTTCAGTGCCCACCCTCGGCAGCAATTAGAGCTCAAGCCTCACCTGGCACCGGCTCAGCCCTGACCCCACCTTAAAGCGGCTGTGGAATGTTGACCCACGTCACCCCATCTCTAAGCCTCTGTTTCCTCACTTGGAAGATGGACATAGTAGTAGTACACACCTCAGGGTTGTTTTGAGGATCCAATTAGATAACATGTTGAGAAAGCCTTTTAAGCATAATACTTGGCACATAGTAAATGGTACGTGGTAGCTATGTGATGACTGTTAAAGCACTTTTGCTTTCTTGGCAGGTTTTAGTACATTTTTTTCATTTCCTAGAATTGCTGCATTCTAAGGAATAGGGGTGTCTTTTATGGTCTTGAGAATTGACCTTGTTCTGTTGAAATCAAACATGACTCTGTCGTACAGAGCCGTTCCCTGGCCCCTTAATAGTTGCCCTGTTTCAGCTGAAGAGCGCAGAGCAGTCCCGTGGCTCTGACATGCCTCTGGGTGTCCTCGGGTATTTTTTTTAAAAGCTGAAGATGGCAGCTGAATTGACAGGAAAACAAAGAACTTCTTCCTCTCACTCCTCTTCCCTTGACACACGCATTCTCCATTTCTTTCCTTTCTGAAGATGGCTTCTAGCGGCTGAGTCCTGATTGCGGGTGGCTTCTCAGGCTCCCCTCGCGGAATAAATCACAAGCTGATTGGTCTTCACTGGGTGAGGACTTGTCCAGGACTTGTCAGACCAGAAACACACATCAGTTCATATCCCTCTGGGTTTCATTAAAAAAGCTGGGGAGTCGGCCAGCAGGGTCGTTTTTGCCAGCTGCTTTCCTTAGGTTGTGACCTGGATGTGGTCCACAGTGAAAGCGTCAAACACAGAGATCCAGGTTTTCCATGACAGCATTGAGCAGTTTGGTTTGGGAAGTGCACGTAGGGCCCTCTTAGAAGTCCGTGGAATCCCCAGTGACTCGGGTTTGGGACAGAGCCATTCCCATGAGCTCAGGAGTTGGCTCGCTCGTGCTGGCTTGGGCTGTTCCACTGGGATTGCCATGGGGGTTGGAACCGCACACAAGCTGCCGGCCCGGCGGCCTGCCGTCTCCATCTCCGTCTCCCCTCGGGTGCTGTGTGCTGCGTCGGGTCTGGTTGGCTCTCACGCCCTCTAGTCGCTGTAGCCCGCTGTCTGTCTACACCCGTTTCAGCCAACAGGATGGCCTCGGCGAGCAGCTCCCCGAGTCTGGAGCGACCGTGGTGGGGCGGACCTCGCGCGCCGCTGGGCAGGGCTGGAGGCTGTGCTCATGGTCTTCGCTCTCTGCAGGGGGAGCTCAGGGCCCGCTGCGCAGTGACTGAGCGGGAAGGACAATATGAAAAAAGAAGGGAAAGGAGTAAAAGGAGAGGAATCAGAGGGAAGACCAGCGGAAGGTTTTGTCTTTGCCGCTCGTAGACGTGCTTTGCGGTCGGTGGGCACGCGTGTGGAAGTACCCATTGGTGTATGAGACGCGGCGATCATTGTCGGAGGCTTGGCATTCTCGGTGCTATGTTTCACAGGGTGAAGGATAATCTTAGTATCAAGATAACCGCAGCCCAGCCTGCTCGCAGCATCCATTTTGACTTATTTCATATCCTGTCTATTCACTCCCAGCCAAAAAGACTAG